TTTAGGGGCTATATAACAGTAAAGAGAACAAAAGAGAACAATAGGTTCATTCCGTGATCAAAGGGTTTATGGGCTAGTAGCCCTTAAAAAACAACGAAAATAACAGAGAAAAAAGCCCCTAAACCCAAAATGTTGGAACGTACGTACGTCTGTCCGTACGTCACGAAATCTTGTGAAAGCAACTCCTCTTAAACCGGATGGCAGATTTTGCTTAAACTTCCAGGGATGAACAACCTTAATGTGTAGATGATAGTAAAGGAAGGAATTTTCGCTGCGACCAAATTTAACAGAATGATGGCCCTTTGTTGATTTTTTCACTATATACTATGTAGAAATGTTGTGAACGCAACTCCTCTTAAACCGGATGGCAGATTTTGCTTAAACTTCCAGGGATGAACAACTTTAATGTGTAGATGGAAGTAAAGGAAGGAATTTTTGCTGCGACCAAATTTAACAGAATTATGGCCCTTTGTTGATTTTTTTCACTTTATACCATATAATACTCGTACGTTTGTCAGTGGGGGCATCCGTGTCCTTTGGACACAGTTCAAGTTGATATATTAACATCGATGGATGATCATATTTCCTTTTTTTGTTATTTTAGGGGGCTGTCTAAAAATAAGCTTTGGAAACCAGTGAAAGGGTATAGAAGGGTAAGTGAATGCTGACACTAAGCTGCAATATTAAATATAATTCAACATATGATATATTTGAAGACAAAACCGCGAGAAATTATACTGAGTGATAAAATAGGGAAGGAAAGAAACGTTTATAAATTACCTCATTAATGCGTGTAGTTACATTTATACATTTATATTTTTTGGATTCTACTTAAGCCGATGGTACTAGGTACAGGCTGTTTATTTATAATTATTTGCTCTATCAAACATAATCAAATCTGTAATTAATCTTCGCTAATCTCAAATTTGATCCCGCACTAGTAACGTATTTACTTACATCTGGATATCATCTAATTAGATTTGTTATACTGGCCTCGCTTTATAATAAGAGCAGGCAAATGTTTTATTGCTCTGTTGGTCACATTCAAGATCAAAAGGCAATACATGCCAATAAGATGAGGTCAAGTTTAGTAAAGCCGGAACTTTAGTACACTAAAATGTTATTTCATGAAACATGTTTGCAGAATTTGCCGCCACGAGTATATAATTAAAATGCAAATGCATTTCCGCTAACATTCTTATATACCCAGTGAATAAACTAAATCATGATTTTACTCAGGACTGTAAAAACAGGATTTTGTGAAATGTAAGTGAGAGGGTTTATTCAATGACATTTTTTTTCTATATAGTTCTTCTGAGTTAATTCTGAGTTTCGCTTCTGTTGCTTTCTTTCATCATAGCCAGGTTTAAGATACTAATTTCTAGCAATCCTAAAATTCCAGCAGTAACCCATACGCATATATTTTTTTACCTTTAATCCACATAATTCAGTCTTGAAACAGAACATACCTAGAACTAACAGGAACATATTTTTAACACAGGTAAGGATCATCCATTCAGTAATATAAAAGATATCGTTGCTATAAGTTTGATACTACATTGCTCCTAAATCTTCCCAATCTGTCAATTTAGTCGAGAAAAATAGATATATGTAAGAAACATGTTTGGAGCTTGTTTCCATTTATTTCATATCGGTGGTGGGCTATTCATCATTAGCGGTGAGTGAAATTATTTTTAACTTAATTCCGCAGTTCAATTTTACTTTCGTGGGCTTTTCTTGATCAGAAATTATAATAATGGAATAAGTAATCAGATTAAAGACTCACATATGTCCTTTCCGTGCATTTATATACACGAAACAATGTTCATGTAAATGTCGTCAGTCTTAACATGGTGCTTTATTTAATAATGCATAGAGGAAATTAATTGCAAAGAATGGACTAAACGTTAGTAATACTGTTAAGTTAAAGAAATGTTATTTGATTAATAATGATTGATACTATCTAACAAGTCAATCCTGTGTCACACTACAATTCCATTTACAAAAGATAAATATGTGGGGCTTGATTCAATTCTTATACTAGATTCATATGTTTAGACGCGTAACATTCGTAAAATAAAAAAACGTGATTGATAATAATGATCCGTAACTATGCTTGACATTACAATTTGGGTAAAATAAAATATACTGTAACTCCTTTTGTATGGGCCCCTCAAATTTTTTTCCAAAAAATAGCTGGAAATATAAGTATTTTGTAAAAGGAATATGGTAATATAAAATTTTTTTACGATGAATATCATTACTTTCAACAGAGTGAAATACTTGCATTAAATTTTTAAATCGGCTTTTTTTCAAATGATATAGAAACACGGTAATGCAGTTATGCAACTTCCCCAATATTTCAAAAATTGGGAATTTTTTCGGGTTTAATAAGAAAGATAGTGCATGTTTCAAATAGGTAAACGCTAAAGGGTTTGGATTTCTTTGGGGAAAACACCCAAGTTTAACAAGGGTCGCTGTCAAAATTATTTATGAAAGGTATTACCAGGATTCAAAAGTACTTTTTGGTTAAACTATTATACAATATAATAACCTACTCCTTTTAACAGTTCAAAGCGTTTAAAAATTACTAATCAGCAAACAATATTGTCAAAAGAAAATGCATCATCTCATCGTAATAAGAATGAGTAATTACATAATTACATTTTATTGTCTGAAACAGTCGGTAAATGCTCTTTTATATTGTTATATTCGATTAGATTTGTTTACTATTTTTACATTGATACACAGAGTATAAATAAATCAAAATGCATAGACGCCCCGTCATTTATAATATTTATTCACCCTTCATTATTTTGAGATAACATGTTATTAAAGTCCTAATCATCCCGTTACTATACTTATATTGACATAAAGATATTCTTCTCCTCGAGATATCATGATTTGTCAAAAAAAAGAATGCTAACAATCATTGTTTACATACTGAGTCTGGGGTATTTTATCCTAAAACTATGAAGACATTAGCAGAGTATAACATTTAATTATTCAAAGATATAAGTCATTCATAAAAAGCATGTTCCCTACAAATCCTCAGCAGAAAAAATTCTTAAAACCATAATATTTCAGTTCGATACCGATGCTTCGTATAGTTGTCCGTAATTTTATTATCGTATCATGTATCATCCTTATGTATTTACCACGTATGATAATAAATACTATAAACAGAGTTATTTATGATATACAGGAATTCGATTATGGGCCAATGTACTTAACGACATTGTCCATGAAAAGCACATACTTTTCAGAATTCATCGCATTTGATACAACAAAATTGTTAGAAAAAATTGCTTATGACTGATTGATTGTTGCACTATTCCTATAAAACAAGTTAAAATTTTCCGATCACCCGTCGTACATATATCCATGATGTAATAAACGTAGTAACATAAATGACTCAAACCATTTGTAAAATAAAGAAAATGGAATCTCTAAAAAAAACCAAAACAGCAAAATCAAAAAAGTTACTGAGCATGGCAATGGACGGTAATGACAATTACAAGCTACCCTTGACGTCCAACAGACACCATATACTTTTTCAGTTCTCAATTATACCATTTTTTACAGTTTACATTGAAATAAATATAATAAGTGTATCATTTAAATGAAAAAATCAATTTGCACAATTAAAATTCTAATAATAAAAACACAGTTTTGGCATAAGATTTAGCATTTTGCTTTATTTAGCATTTTATTTAAAATATGATTTTTGTTGACCATGGAACCGATGATTATTATACAATGTATATGCGTTGCACTTACAATTGTTTTTATTATACCACTCCTTAATACTACCGTCTACAAAAACGATATTTTAACAAATTAAGTTGAAAATCATATTAATAATGCCCTATAATTTTACATGATGACTGTGATTTTAACAAAGTACAAAGTGTCAATAAACAAACTCATGATTTCATAGTTTATAATAAATTATACACAACTATACAAGACTGACGTTATAGTCAACAAGCCTATGATAAAATACTGATAAGTAATGTTTCATGTACAAAATGCTAAAATATTTTTTTTTTAAGTATTACTTCAAATGTAGTTCTAATGGAATGAAAAGATGTTTTCTCCGAGCAATACGTTATAATAAAATAAGATTCGCATTTCCCTTGCCATCGCAAAAACACATATACCCAATTAATATATCAAAGGTTTTTGTTGTTTTTTTAATCTTGAAATAAATCGGTTTAATGCATCTACTTGTAGTAAATTTATAACCCATTCAACTAACTAATCATCAGCTCTGACAATTACTGAGACCCACTTCTCTAACTTTCTTTACTTTGCAAATTATGTAACAACATTCTAGAGATGAAATTTAAAGCATTTGGAAAAAAAAGATTTATAGGAATGAAATTATATTGTAGTTAAATAGGTATGTGTATGGAGGACTGTATAAATGGTTATTATATTTCTATTATTGAAACATGTTGTATATCCTAAGGTCAAAAATTTGTTATGTCCTGAAGTCAAAAGTTTGTATCTAAAAACAAGTTTATATGTCTAAGAAAAAATGCTATTATCTGCAATAATTAGCGTGTGATAAACATAAAATCGCATAACAAAAATATTGGGTAATCATGCCCTATTAAGAGAAGTAATTGATCCACTAAAATCCATTTCAGCTGTGTCCTTTCGTAAGTGTTTAAGACTATATCAATCGTATTCAAACAAAAAACATTTTCGGCATTCATTTCTTTACTAATATACTAATATTTCATTTACGATATACTCAATAGCATTTAGATTCTTAAAACATACAAAAAGTCAAGAGCATTATTAACTTTGAATATAATTATAATCCAAGAATAGTTTTGGCAGAAAAAGTGAGATATTAAAATATATTATTATTTTTAATTTTGAAGGCGCAAAATGGGTGTTTTTATTTATATGTGGTTACTGACATCATTTTTGTTTTATTTAACCCAAAAGAATCAGTCACAGGCTGTATATATGCATGCATTGAAATTGTAAGGGACATAAAATCATACCACAAATGCTATCAATGGTCAGTTACTAAGAAAGCTGTCAATGTATAATGTTAAAAACAAAACATTAAAATATAAAATATGTTTATTCTTAAGCTTAGGTCATACAAACATTATAAAATGACTCTTTTATTTGTCATCACAACAATTATTAACTGTATACATGTTTGTTCCTACAACATTTACGTCATTAAAAACATCATAGCAGATAATAATACTTATTTACAAACATTTAAGAAATAATTACACTGAACAAGAATACAACATTTTGTCTATAACATTTCAATTACTTTTTCAATATTGAGTGTACATACAATCAAACAAGTGTTTAGCAACTTTACAAGTTTAATGATATTGAATTTAATGAGCTGGCATACGATCAAATAATTCAAGCTTCAATCATTCTACATACTGTACTGAACTGCATCGGTTAACAGACATAATAATTAGTTTCATTTGATAAAGTACCTCATTTTCTTCATAAACACAAACAAAATGCAAAGGTGTTATGCTTGTTCTCGTTTAAACATTAAAATAGAAAATGTCAGTGTACATGCAAGGCAGTATTACGTCGGCTCATTATATCTCAGAAACGCTATCAATTTATTTCAAAGAAAAAATGTATTTTCAAGTATTTTTTAGTATTTTGCATAGAAGTCAAAAATACTATTTTGTTTACATTTTGCTACATTTCACAGCACATTCTTGCACTTTTCGCACTACTGTTTTTACTTGTTTAACATGATATGCTCCATTGTTAATCCATTGTTAGTTCGTCATTGTTAAATCCATTTAGATCCATTGTTAAAACATTACAAAACACTATTTGTTTCCACAATTAAATAGATAATAGAACATATCATATTCAAACCACATTCATCATTTTAATTCCTATATTCGTTCATTATTTTGTTTTAACTCTAGTTTTTCTTTCCATGATACATTATATGCATGCATAATATAAATTGTTCATAGAACAAACATGATTTAAATATTTGAGGCCTTATTTGTTCATGGAACAGATGTGTATCTTGAAGTGACTTCATTTGTTCATAGAAAAATACTTGATGTTTATTGTGTTGTGACTTCATTTATTCCAGACGTGATTTAAGTACTGGGTTTGTATCTTGTAGTGATTTGATTTGTTCATGGAACAGACGTGATTTGAGTCGTGGATGTGTATCTTGTAGTAACCTGTTTATATTTATCACTCATCAGGCGCCCGACTTTTTTCGTACAAAGGTAACAAATTGCTATGAAAAGACCCTGGAGAGAATTAAATATAATAAAAAGGTACCACATCACATTTTCGTTTGTCGCATTTGCCACAAAAGCAAACACCCAGGTGAGACCCATTATTAGGGACAATTTGATATTGATTATAAAGGAGCATGTATTCTTACGCCGTGTTGCCATAGCGCCTTCTTTCTTTGCACGGGCAATATGAATTGCTGTTGAAATGAAAGATATAACATCAAATATTTTAAATACAGCAAGAGGACCAGCAAGAAAAAGAATCAAAGCATCTCTTGAAGATATCCAACAAACGCCTTTCCCGTAACCAGGTTTTAAAGAGGAGAAACTCGCATCAAAATCAACAAAGTCTAGAATAATAGCAGGGCAAATTATTATTATTGGTACCAACCAAGCATACATTGAATACCTGACGAACTTCTTACGGCCCTTTGTATCAGATCCAGGAGTCATAAATCTATTTGAAAAGGTCATCCAAAGGTCAAATGCAATGACATTCATCCAGCAGAAAGCAGAAAGGAAGAAATAATGAACCAAGATGGCAAATAATGTACATATAGAAGAAACAGTCTGAACTTCGGGAGCTATAAGGAACAAGATTTGTGCAAAAAGAAGGGAAATTATTAAACTTGCTAAAATTTTTCCAGGAATATTTAACAGCTGCGGAAATGCTACATACACCGCTAAAGTGATTGCTAATGATATAATTGACACAATGAGCCCAACAAGCGTCATATAACTTTCCACAATGTCAGAAAAATATGCAGGCTTTGTATCACAATTGCTTACACAGGTTTCGGTGTTATTAAGACAAATAAATACATCCGTCCCATTTAACAAATAATCCTCCGTAGAGTAAACTTTCTTGTGCGAAAGTATATACAATCCAGAGTTATTCGTAAACTCATATTCATGAGAATTTAACTTGGTCCAAGAACAATTTTGCTGTTGAATATATGGATCTTGTACTTGTTCAACCATATTCACCATACTAAAAACTGTATTGTTGCACGCACCATTGACAGGGACAAGAGGTGGAGCACAAAATATTTCTCTACATATCCGAGATAACCAATCGTATATTTCATTATCTTTGCATTGCTTTCCTTCTTCAATCGTTCCATTGTTATTTACATTGCCAGAATTAAAATCAACTAACAGTCTAAAACTGTAGGTGGCCCTCTCTCCTGCATAAGGGGGTGGCAAAGGATTAACTGTAGAAGGATTAAGTAGTTCACAAAACAACAAATCCTCGCTAACGCCATTGCACACTGCACAATATTTGTTTCGATACATCATTCCCCGCTCATCAAATGTTATAGCATATATTCCGTCTGTGCAATCTTTCATTAAATTATACGAAATCAATTCTGCAGACTGGTTACAAGAAGATATTATGGGCTGAGACAATTGACACGTTCTATATGAAACTTCCGGTATCGGTCTAGTGAAGGACATTTCACAGTCTTTCATTTCCGGGAGACTACGGACGCCTGTTTCATTCCGACACTTTATTTTCTGGCTCCAAAAGTAAAAATCGTAAACAAAATTGCATTGCGCGCAGTACATATTTTTAAACATTACGTGAAATTCGGTTTTATCAGAAACCGGAAGTCTTAGAAAAATATTGTCTTCGTCTGTTTCAGCTTCGCATAGTTCTCTTGTTAAATCATTATTCCATTCCGATGCACACTTTGTAACCATAGAAACCCCGTACTCTCTATTTTTCACAATTTCATACAAAGGCACACATTCAAATTGGTCTTTTGTCAAATACAATAATGATTCATAGACATTGTTCCTGCAACAATCGGACATAAGTCCACAAAGTTTGTCACAATGACAACCCTTTTCCGGAAATGTAAAAAACATCATATTGGAACAACTTGCTTTATCGTTACAATGAGGCGTTCCTAATTTGAATTTTATTTCCGGGTCGTAGTCATAGTAATAATCCGGTGTTGTTGTGGAAAATGTTTGTATCATGTGTACAGGTGATTTGTAACCATCGTCCGTGCCGACACTTGCAGAATAACTATCACTTTGACCACATATTTCCGTTTCTGTAAAAAAAATGAGTATCATAAAAATCTTGATAAAATTAGAAATTCTAAAGTTTATTTCCTTACTTACAAGAATAGCCATATTGTTTTACTTTTTTGTTTTAGTTTATTATTACTGCATGTATTGTCCATCCGTGTTTTGAAATTAAACAATTAGAACTCCGTTTTTGGTTCTATCGAGTAGGAAAAAAAATAAACATCAGCTTCCGAAAACATAATTTATAACATTCTCAGGTTATAACACCGTCTATTTATATTGCAGTAAAATGTTCCAAGTCGTATATTTTGAAAGCTTAACTTTGTGAAAGATGAAAAGCTGCCTCTAGCGTGTAAGACGGTAAAATGAAACTGGACTATCTCTCTGCGTTATCGATGGGATAGTTCTGCTTATCGTTATAGGTAGGCGAAAGAAATTCTCGGCGAGTTAACTTTCAGATTTGATATAGCTCAAATTTGACAGGCTTGCTTATCTTTACAGATAAACGAATTTTTGTTTTACCTTTTTTATATTCACTTATAAATAAACGATTCACAATTAACCCACTTTTTAAATTGAATTATCACCGTGTTTAAAAGAGAGAAGAGATGAAGAAAATAAGAACAGTAACAATTTATTTTTACGTAAAATGTTAATAAAATACAGCAAACTCTATACTGGCACCGATGAAATCATTGTTGATAAAACGTGGAGCCTCCTGGTCCATTGAGGCAATTTTTTTTAACCAAAGCACCGACCACACTTGTTTGTGTTTTCCCGCCGATCTCAACCGTTTTGTTCCTATCCTGTTTATTGACTTTGAAGCTGAAATCTAAATTGTTTAAATACCAATCATTGCATTGACATGCATAAACGCGAATTTAAAGAAATGTCACTACGACTCAAAGTTTTTTCTATATTTTTCTTATACACTAATAGATGAGATTGTTTTGATTTGTTGGAAAAAAGTGAAATGCGGAAATTCATTTAAAGTAATATTTGTATACATTTTGTATGAAATACATATATACACTGTACATGAATTAATATCCTGTAGTAGTTACAAAATTTAGAAACATTTATTTTTTAATTTCTTTTATATTTTATTCATCGGGTCATTTGTTAACTGTCTAGCTTTACATTAGTTATCAAATTGATTTAATATCCGTTGTGAAACAAATTCTTCTAACATTTACACTAGTGTATCACATTCGAGTTCGCTCCACCTGCATCTGCGCAGTCTGATCAGGACCCATGCTGTTCGCTGTCAGTTTCTCTACTTGTTATAGGGTTTGTAAGCGGACAGCATGGATCATTATCAGACTGCGCGGATGCGCAGGCTGGTCTGGATCCATGCTGGTCGCAAACCCATTATGTTGGTTTTGTCATGGCGCGGCTAATATAAACATCAAGATGGCTACATACTTGTCGACTATTTTAAATAAAGAAAACAAGAAAAAAATAATCTTATTTATTTTATTTTTATTGTCATAATCAGGAAATTAGCCAAAGATTTCTACTATGAAGGAAAAACAGTTTGGTGAAGAAATAAAACTATAATAAAACAAGAAAAACAACAACAAAGAAACAAAACAAAAATCTTGCAAGGAAATATATAATTTCTAGACCTCAAAGATAAAATAGCAAAAACTAAAACTGAAAAAGCCGCTTTTCCGCAGTCTTTTTGGGCCTTGAAATCAAGCAACACCAGATAACGCCTTCTTTGGTGTTGAACAAGCAATCAGACCCATGTATTAGAGGGGTCTAAGGAGAATCATAACTCATGTAAGATTCTAATAACTAAGAATCGATTGATACAAGAAATTCAAATTGACACTTAATTACAAATAAATAAAACTTTTATTTGTATTATGAGTTTAGAACCATGCCAATAACTTATCATATGTAACTTTAAAGTTTTATTATTATCTACATTATCATTTCTTTTTGTCTATGATTTTTTTCACAAATTTAACCAAATCTATGCAATGCAAAATATTATCTTAAGAAAAATTATTGTTGAGCTTGTTCATTATAAAGAAATGGGTAAAAATACTCTGAGCATATTCTGTAAAGAGATTTATCAATTTTAGAAATGTTCTTTACAGACATAAACAAGATTAAACACCGCATAAATACAACACTAAATAGTAATGTAGGAACACATTTATTTTGTTTCTATACAGATTGCCATAATGCATATATCACTTATCTATCTGTTATTATAAGATTAGTACCTTCAGACAATAAGATTTTTAATTTTTTACTTTATGACATAGTGACTGAAAATCAATGATCCCCAGGGGCGGGCCAATTTTGACCCCCAGGGCTTTAATTTGAATAATCTTGCTAAAGGTTCACTACACAATGTTTACTGCAAAATGTCTCACCTCTAGCCTTTGTCAATTCGAGAAGATGATTTATTGAAGTTTTTACTATATACATGTAAGGAAAACCTATGACCCCGGGGCAGGGCTAGTTTTGACACTAGAGGCAAAATTTGAACAACTTTGGTAGAGTACCTATAGATGATATCATATACTAAATATCAAAGCTCTAAGCCTTGTACCTTCAGACAATAAGATTTTTTAATTTTTTACTATATGTACATAGTGAAAATCAATGACCCTCGGGGGTGGGGCCAATTTTGACCCCAGGGCTATAATTTGTTCAATCTTGCTAGAGGTTCACTACACAATGTTTCATGCAAAATATCTAACCTCTAGCCTTTGTCAATTTAGAGAAGATGATTTTTTAAGATTTTACTATATACATATGAGGAAATCCTATGACCCCCGGGGCAGGGCTAATTTTGACACTAGAGGCAAAATTTGCACGACTTTGGTAGAGTACCTTTAGATAATAACACATACCAAATATCAAACCTCTAAGCCGTGTACCTTCAGACAATACGATTTTTTTTTATTTTTTACTATATGTACATATTGAAAATCAATGACCCCCAGGGTGGGGCCAATTTTGACCCCAGGGCTATAATTTGCACAATCTTGCTAAAAGTTCACTACACAATGTTTCATGCAAAGTATCTAACCTCTGGCCTTTGTGAATTTAGAGAAGATGATTTTTTGAAGTTTTTACTATATACATATATGAAAAACCTATGACCCCCGGGGTGGGGCTGACTTTGACACTAGAGGCAAACTTTGAACAACTTTGGTAGAGTACCTATAGATAATAACACATACCAAATATCAAACCTCTAAGCCTTGTACCTTCAGACAAGAAGGCATTTTAAGTTTTTACTAAATGTACATATTGAAAATCAATGACCCCCAGGGCGGGGCCAATTTTGACCCCAGGGCTATAATTTGCACAATCTTGCTAAAAGTTCACTACACATACCAAATATCAAACCTCTAAGCCTTGTACTTTCAGACAAGAAGGTATTTTAAGTTTTTACTATATGTACATATAGTGAAAATCAATGACCCCCGGGGCGGGGCCGATTTGGACCCCAGGGCTATAATTTGAACATTCTTAGTAGAGGTCTACCAGACAATGCCTTATGCAAAATATCTAAGCTCTAGGCCTTTTGGGTTTTTACAAGAAGATTTTTTTAATTTATTCTTATAATTCCTTTTGGTTGCCATGGCAACCAGAATTCTGCATGGAATGAAATTCTTTGAACAACTTTGGAAGGCCTTCACCCAAGGATCAATCCTGCCAAGTTTGGTTGAAATTGGACTAGTGGTTTTTCACAAGAAGATTTTTTAAGTTCACTATATAATCTATATAACACACACACACACAAACAAACACACACACACACACACACACACACACACACAGGTGAATCGCTATATGCCACCGCATCGCAGATGCTGCGGTGGCATAAAAAGTACATTTTGTATTTCAAAAATGTTTGTATGATTCAACAATTGTTTTTTGGAAACTGTTAATTGTCATGCAATACCGAGGGAGGAATACCGACTCAAAGCACAACCTAAAATATAGAACATATAGATGAACTTTTAATTAGTACCGTCCATGAACAACCTTAATGTGTAGATGGTAGTAAAGGGCAGAATTTTTGCTGTGACCAAATTTAACAGAATTATGGCCCTTTGTTTTTTTTTCACTATATACTATGTAGAAATTTTGTGAACACAACTCCTCTTAAACCGGATGGCAGATTTTGCTTAAACTTCCAGGGATGAACAACCTTAATGTGTAGATGGTAGTAAAGGAAGGAATTTTTGCTGCGACCAAATTTAATAGCATTATGGCCCTTTGTTGATTTTTAGTTTTCAACTTGTGGCACATGTAGTCCAAAAAATATTTGACCTAAGTCATAAGATTGACAGAAAAGTGGCGTGTGGGGGCATCCGTGTGCTATGGACACATTTCTAGTTTTAACAGCTCTACAAATACGGCTTACTAAATGTTATTCATTGAAAACAATTTTAACCATAGTTTACATAGTAACAAAGAACGCGTTCTGTTGGCATTAATGCTTTTAAGTGCATTTTCGTATTTGAAAAAGTTGTTGTTTTTCTCCAGACGTGCCTATTAAAAGATATGTGTGAAGCGCATTTATACCGTGTAATCACACACATGTTTCTCGTAAAATCATAAATAAAAGTAAGTATGCAATTTGTTTTATCTAAATCATTTTCATTTGTAAACACATCATTTGAAAAGATATGTCTCTTTACAGCTGTAAAAGAAACCACGTGGACAAAATTTCTCTCAGTGACATGTTGTTAAAATTGTAGCCTTTTCACCTTACAAATTCCAGGGTTGTTCTTATTTGGCGCTGGTTATATGTATTGTAAACATCAGATACCCCCATTATCTATTGAAAACGCGGGAAATAAGATTTGCAATTTGAAACATCAATTTGGTATCTTTATATTTCGTTAACTTTACGTCTGATAATAGACGTAAGTGCTGCTTTTCATTGAGACACACAGCAACATTAACATAACAGTTTAATATTCCAAATGAAAAGCATGTATTGAATGTAAATGTTGCACGATAAAACTTCTATCTTGCAGAAAATAGCTTACTAAATTGACTGTCATCTTAAAAGATTTTCAGCTGACGTCGAATGTTTCAAAATTACTAATATAAATTAACTTCATGCCCTTAATGTTTTCATTTTTTCTACTTTTATTTCATTCATCTTGTTTGTCTTGTTTGCTTATTCAACAAAAATAGTCGGTGTTTTAATTTCAGTGTAAACATAGTTTATTTGTTTTAAAAGATAAAATTTATTGTGTGACATTTTTCGTAGCAATTTTATTCATGTTAACATTCATGAAACGAATATAAAAATGATAACAATGAAATAGCCCCAAAAGTGTAAT